GAAACAGGTTATGTTCGTTCAAAATCGAAGCTGTTTTCACAGAGACTCGTTACTTCAAATCAAATCAAAGCTGTTTCGTCAGAAATTTAAGTTTTAAGAAGTTTTAAATTTAAGTTAAAGAACAAAAAAATAAAGCAGCAGGCGAACGAAAGGAAAATTTATAAAATTGATTTTAGCGAATTCGAGACTGCATCGAGCAAACGTCCGTTAACAGAGCTCCGAACCAAGTTCCCTATTCGTGAGAACCCGAGTGCGACAGTTTTCGCGGTAGCGAGTCACGTCCGAACAAAGTTGTCTGTGTAAATACTATTGAATAATAACAGCAACGTTAACACGAAATGTTAGTTTTTCATTTACGTACAGCACGACGGGATTCGGGACAAAAGAAACTATCCGTAGCGCGAAGAAATTCGTTTAAAAGATATCGATCGACCCGCTAACAAGTCAAAGTAAAAGAGAATGGAACTCGGGGGACAACGACGAGAAGAGCCACAACTGAAACTCGGATGAACGAAAGGGATACAAGGGGGCGAACGAAAACTGATAAAAGTATGAGAAGGTCGGATCCGTTAGACTTGCTCCACGGCATGTATAATAGAAGTGTGTAGTTAAAACAAAAAAAAAAAAAATATGAAAACACATTGCCTATGCATTACGAGAACGTTGTTTGTAATATCTGTACATACAAATTTCAAGTAAAGTAATCTTATTTTCTTACAAACTATATAGCGGTGACATTACGAAGAATACTTAAGATTTTGTTGTAATATTAAGTATTTATTCAGAATTCATGTTGTCCCAATATAGTTTGCTTTATGCACTCGTCTTTGGTGTATTGAACAAAGAACAAAAAAAAAAAGAAGTATCGTTTTTATACAAGCTTAGGAGTAAACAAAAAAAAAATATTGTAGCGACTCTTACACTCTCGACGGGGAAGCTGACGACGGCGGGGCGGGGAGGGGTCTGCGAAGCGACGAACGAGATGAGAATGTAAAAAAAAAAAAAAAAAAGAAACAAACGGAAAACGTGCGAGAATAACCTGTGGCGCGGTTTTTCAAACTCCGATCTCGTTTCCTCTGTGTCTGTGACGGTTCTTGGATTGAGGTCGTTCAGGATTCGGGTGAAAACAATTTTTTATCACGTTTGTAGATCGAACGAGCAGCTGTGATCGTAGCGATACAAAAAGCAGCGACAATATCGCTATTGCCACCGCGGTGATTCGTCTTTTTTATACGTTTATAGAGCCAACTAGCTGCCGTTTATAATTATCAACTTTGTATGCAATCCGCTGAACGACACGAGTCCAAGCCTCGAATAAACACACGCGTATGTGCACCGAAAGAATTGACGGACCACGAATCGAAAACATGAGCGAACATGCGTATTTTTTGGTCACCGTGTAGTTTGAAGATTGTAGGAGGGGCTGAAAGTCATAGTGGTGTGAGTCGAGTTTTTTTTTTCTTTTTTATTTGGAGTATCGACTTGTGTGGATAGATGCAATCTATGTATGTAGGTCAGAGGAAAATATTTCTCAGAATATCAGAAAATATTTCTCAAAATATGGGTCACACCAATATGGCGTCCAGGCCCTCGCTCGTAGAGTAGAAGTATCGAGGGAGCAAAGTGTCAGAGTTAAATTGGGACTTGTCTATAATTAATGGGGCTATTGTTAATGATCCTAGAAGAAGGCAATATTTATTCAGTATTATTCTTTTTGTTACTTTTGAAACAGTAATTCGATCGAAATGGTTTCGTTGAATTATTTGGTCCCTTCGATACTTACACTCCGCAGTCGTCAAGGCTGACTTGGACAGGGAAGACTGATTACTGGATAATCCGAAAACCACAATTTATTAGCTCCGAGAGATTACAAATTATTGAATCGTAACTGTACGTTAGAAGCATAATTATTGTGAAGGTAATCACGAAGTAATCGCTGTCCAATTCTGGGAGGAAACGATCCGCGTTTTGAAAAGACCAAGCGTTCACTTTGGGAAGATTGCCGCGCTCTTCACGGATCCGAGGGTCAGTCCGCGGAACTTTGTTAACGAACGCAAGCTGGCGAGGTTCTAAGTGATTACGCTTCCTTTTCGTTTTACGATTTAAAGTAGCACTTTATTGGGGCCCAGATGTACATTCATCTATATCACGTCAATAAATCTGGCAGCAAAAGGAGTCAATTTGGATTCATTCGACTAGTTTTAAGTTACGCCGCGAGAGCACAGAGACGGGCAAAGGTTTCATTCGAATAAAATCAATGAATAAAATCAAAAATTTTATTTTTCATTATAAAACAATTCATATAATTCAAATTCTTTTTTTTTTTTTTTATTTAACGATTACCGGATGAACAGTTGCTTATCTTCGATTCGTTATTGGAAATTACGTTTAGGTAAAGATTTTTGCCCGTCGCTGGATCGAGAAGTGTCCGAGGATCCGTAAAAGTGCGCTGCTTTTCATTCTTTTACTTTTGTTTTTAATATTTTGCAAAAGTTCAGTCCTGAGAGGGTATTCTGTCGATGCACGGACATTTCTCATTCTGAAATTAATTGAACGCGCTTTCAGAACCTCGGATGACGAAGGATAAATTTTCAAAATAAATTCTTTTGCTTCATAACAATGGTATAGTACGTTATTGTTAATTTTTTGAGATTGAATATTAGTAATCAATAATTGAATATTTCAAGCACAGATACGCGAAAATAAAGTCTTTCAAAATTGTTGCAAATTAAATAGACACTTGTAATTCTAAAAGAATTATTTTGAAAATTTAAACTAACAGCTTTCACCCTCCCCCTCGTCGGTCGCGTTCCCATCTGTCCGCCAAAGAAATTCAGTGTCGTAGGTAATTCCTCCAAAAATAAAATGAATCTGGAAAAAATCTTTTTTTTTTCGAATGGAGCATAGATGCAGGATCTCGAGTCTTAACCGTCCCCAAAATGTGCAATGCTAGAAGTTAAAGGTTGCTTTCTATCGACGAGAGAGGCATTGAAGTCTCCGACCTCCATCCCCTTAACGCCACCCTTCCCTCCTTTCGTGATCCAGTGCGTTCGTTACGAAAGCGTCGCGGACTTTTCCATGGATCCCGAACGATCGATAACTAGGGAGAAAAGAAGAAACTAGAAAAAGAAAAATTCAAGTCGACCGACACTTGTTGCGCTTCGAGTTTCGAGATGGAAAGGGAGGAAAACGAGAGGGTGAGAGCCTGACATTAAATCGGAGGTTGTCGCTGACGAAACAAGAAATACAGGGTGACTGGAAAGACTGGAGACGAATTTGTACAGCTTGTTAACCCAGCGACCAGAAATCCGAGTAAGCACATTTTTACGTTCGTTAAATGTTTCAATATGAAAGAAACAATGCACACTTTATTTTGTAATGACAATATAGATTAATCACATTTTTTTGGGATCTTTGTATAATTCTATTACGATTATCATTTTATAGGTAATTATTTCAGGTGTTTATCTAGGTGTAATTAATCGATGTGAATTAAAGCAGAACTTGAAATTGTACATTTTATTTTATTTAAGGGGTACTCGTTGTTTCCCAATTGTTTTTTTTTTTATTGAGTAATTCAGCCCAAGTATCTTAATACATAATGAATATTTATTGTATTAATTAAAAATATTTCTACATTTATGTTTATGAGTAGTGAATCAGTAGTAGATTATATTGTTGATAACAGTGGTTCAATGCCAACGACTCGTCCAAGAAACCTATAAGAATAATTCGTACTCTGTATAAATTCGGCTCCAATTTTTCGGTTACTCGGTTGAAACGTTAAAAAATAGAGGGGCAAAAAGGATTTTTAATTGTACATACAAAGTGTTCGCGTGTACATATTTATTATATACTTCTGTTACAAGAGAACTCGTATCGTCAGGCAGCACTCGATGGCCAAAATTCTCAAGTAGATAACACATTTCGAGAAACGAATAAAATATAAATCATTCTATTATACCTATAATAAAATTTACTGTCTATATCACCTAATTAATGTTTCACAGGAAACTTTTGTTTATCGCCAAATATTCCATGGTTCAATTCATTTATACATAAATGTAAACATGTAATTTATGTAATAATAATGAATTTTCATTTCAACGAATTAAGCTGCAATTATATTTATATATTCTATTTAACTGAAGCTTATCGCAATACTTATATTCATTTAAATATGGTAATACAAACTTTAGTTCGACACGAGTATTTCTTTCAAGTTGAACAGATTAAATCAAATTTATTTGAGAGTTTAAATGAATTTGATCTTAGGTCTGAATTAGTTTCTCAAGCTCGTAGCATTCTTATTCTCGAACGTATAGACGGTTATATATATTTTATTCTTCACTCGAAGCTTGTATCTAATTAAGAATTCTACGCCGTAATGGTTGCACGGTAAATCCAGTGCGTGTCACACGGATGTTTGTTTCTGTACGATAATGAGTTTGTTTATCAGGAAAGTGAACAAGGTCGAGTGCGCGCGAGCAAAAGGGACGAAACGTTGGGAGCGTTTCATTAAACAATTTATCGTTCGTTGTAATAAACTTTTAGAAGGTAAACATTATAAATTCTAAACGGTTATATTTCTACCCGCGTAACATACATATATAGATATGTATATACATGTGTATTATATATGTATGTATGCACAGTTCGAACAAAAAAATAAAAATAAAAAGGAGATATATGATGTAAGGAGTCTACTCGTAAGCGTGGCAGTGGACGAGTAAATTGATAAGGTGCTGACTGTACAATTGCGAATATAAACAGAAAAAAAAATAGAAAAGCGTGAAAAAAATGAAAACAGATGAACCGTCGGTCCTTATCGAGATCGTACTCGGCACAGTGCGAGGCACATTTGTATTATAACATTATACATATATTGTATCACCTATGTTTTTTGTATTTGGTAATCTAATGAGAGTGCATGCGAGAGAGAGAGAGAGAGAGAGAGAGAGAGAGAGAGAGAGAGAGAGAGAGA